GGGGCTTTGTGTAGTAAAAATAGTGAAATGTTAGTCAAGGGTACAAACTTCCAGTTATAACAGTAATACATTCTGGAGATCTAATGTACAATATGTTGGTTATAGCTAATAAATACCATATTATATACTTGAGAGTTGCTGAGAAAATAAATCTTCAAAATTCTCACCACAAAAAAGAAAGGGCAATTATATGGCGGGATGGAGGTTTAACCAAGCCATGTGATAATCATTTTGCAATATATGAATGTATCAAATCAACATGTTGCATGCCTTAAACTTACACAGGATTTTATGTCAATTATATCCTAATAATGTTGGAGGGAAAAGATGTATCAGAGAGAAAAAGACACAAGCAACATGGCAGTGTAGGAAGCCCTGGACTCTCCTTCACACTCACAAATTCACTGATTCAGCTTCAATTCATGGATTAGTTTTGTGATGAACTCTAAATTAAATGAAAGAATTCCTTACTCTGGGAGAATGCAAAACCAGACTCATTAAAGCCAGTAGGCAGATTCAAGACACCCTTTCATCAGCAAACTTACCACAGTGCAGTCTTACAAGCAGGAAGAGACCGTCTAGCTTTCTGCTTCACCCAGGAAAGAAGGATTTGCTTGGAGGTCCAATATGGGTACATTTTCAAGGGGGCTACCCAAAGACCTGGAATCTATATTGCCAGTTCTGGTAGCTCTGATGATGTCTGGATGTCCAGGCACTATAGGGATGGCAGCTTGAGTTAGTACTCATCAGTGGTACTCCTTCTGCTCACCACCAAGTGAGTGGATAAATAATCCGAGCTCTCAGCTTCCCCCTTGAGATGCAAAGACTTGATCCATTCATCCAGAGCCCCAAGTACCAAACAGAAATCATGAAGCTGACAACATACCAACAACTGAAAAATGCACTAGAGGAGTTCAATAACAGACTAGATCAAGCAAAGGAATGATCAGTGAACTCAAAAAGAGGTTACTGGAAAATATTAAAAACAGCAAACAAGATAAAAGAATGAGAGTGACTTAAGGGACTTATGGGGCACCATCAATGGCACTAATACATGCATTATGAGAGTTCTAGGAGAGGAGTAGAGAAGGAAAGGATCAGGAAGCATTTTCAAAGAAATAATGGTTAAAGAACTTCCCAGTTGGAAGAAGGAAATGGATATCCAGATGGAGAAAGACCAAAGAACCTCATGGGCCCAAAGAAATCCATAACAAGACACATTATGATAAAATTGTAGAAATTCAAAGACAAGGAGAGAATTTGACAATAGGGGAAAAAGTGAGTTCTTACATACAATGGAACCCCCATAAGTCTGTGAGGGAATTTTCAGGAAAAATCTTATAGTCCAGAAAGCAGCAGGATGATATTCAAAGCACTGAAAGAAAAAGCCGCCAACAAAGAATACTCTATCAAGCAAAACTGCCCTTCAGAAATTACAGGGAGATAAAATCATTCCAGACTAAAGTTAAATGAGTTCATGACCACTAGACCTCCCTTCCACAAAATGCTAAAGACAGTATTGCCAGCACTATGGTGCATAAGGAATCCCTCCTTTTTGTGCCTCCCTTCTAATAAAAAATCCACATATATTTATTATATACCAGGCCAATTTTAGACACTCAAGGAAGAACAGAAGATGGACAAAAATGGCTCCCAATCTTTAAGATATTAAAGATTTAGATGTAAATACAGAAAACATGATGTTAAAAGAGCTAGTGGGCTTCAGAGTAAGGAAATACTGCAATGAAGCTTAAAAAACTTTTAGCTGTGTTGCCTAAGTGGCTCAGTAGGCTGTGTCTGACTTCGGCTCAAGTCATGATCTCAGGGTTCTGGGATTGAGCTCCATGTAGGGTTCCCTGCTCAGCAGGGAGTCTACTTTCCCTCTCCTCTGTCCTTCCCCTGGCTCATGCTTTGTCTCACTCTCTCCCTCAAATAAAAATAAAATCTTTTTTTAAAAAGGCTTTTTAGCTGAGTTATTTTAAATAATATTAAAAATAGATAAGATAATGTCTACATATAAAATGAATTGGTTTTTCTTTCTTTCCACAAATTTTGTGTTAAAATACACACAAAATAAAGTTTACCATCTTAACCATTTTTAAGTGTACAGTTTAATGGTATTAAATACATTCATGTTGTGTAGCCATCACTACCATCCATTCATAACTTTTCATCTCGTAAAACTGAAATGCTATACTTATTAAACAATAACTCTCCATTCCTTCTCCTCCCAAATACCATTATATTTTTTATATCTATGATTTTGACTATCAGACAGATCAATAGACTCATAGAGTATTTGTGTTTTTGTGACTGGCTATTTCACTTAGCAAAATTGTCCTCGAGACTCATCCATGTTGTAGAATATTGCAAAATTTCTATCCTTTTTAATGCAGAATAAAATTCCATTGTTTGTATATACCACATTTTTCTTTTTCCATACATCTATTGATGGACACTTGGGTTACTTCCAAATTTTAGCTATTCTCAATAATGCCGCTATGAACATGGGTGTACAAATATCTCTTCCAGACAGTGCTTTCAATTCTTTTGGTTATAGTCTCATAAATAGGAATGCTGGGTCATATAGTAATTCTATTTCTAATTTTAGAGGAACAACCATCTATTTTTCACAGCAGCTTATATCATTTTCCATCCCCACCAACAGTGCACAAGGGTTCCAATTCCTTTACATACTCACCCATCTTTTGGGTGGAGTTTTGTGTGGGTTTTTTTGGTAGCCATCCTAATGAGTGTGAAACTGTGATTTTGATTTACACTTCCCTACCGATTAGTAATGTTGAGAGATAGGTATATGGAGAAATACCTATTCAAATTCTTTGCCCATTTTTGAATTGAACTATTTGTTTTTTGTTGTTGAGTTTTAGGAGTTTCTGTATATTCTGGATATTAATTTCTTATCAGATACATAATTCATAAATATTTTCTTCCCATGAAACTACAAAACATCCAGAAAGCAATTAATAAGATGGCCCCTTGTGGGGAGCCAGATAACTCTGTTTTAGGAACTGTTCTGTGTATTGTAGAATGTTTAGTAGAATACCTGACTTTTACTTTCTAGAAGCCAGTAACAATTCTGCCCCAGTTGTAAAAACCAAAAATGTCTGCAGGCATTGTGTCTAGTAAGCAATGGTCATGAATTCTGCTAAATGTACTACAAGGGACAGAACAATTTTCCTTATTCCCACCTCTCACAACAAAGAATTATCTGGCCTAAAATATCAATACTGTTGCCACTGAGAAACTCTGATGTGACTGTTGGGTTTGTACCCACATTCCTCTAGGTGTACCCAACTTAATTTGGTGACAAATATCCCTAATAATGTATGTGACTTTACAACTAATGAGACCTCCTACCTTTTAAAGGATAAACATCACCACAAATTAACGATGCTAAAACTTTAACATCATTTTATATTATACCTAAATGCTAAGTTTCTGCATGTGTAGAAATAACACTGAAGAGACTACCACAGGAGCTACACTCCTACAAAAACAGAATTTGCTAAGGAACTTAAAAAAGGACACATTTTACCCTATAAGCATATTTTGGCCAGAAACTAATAATTTAGTGGCACATAATGATATGTGTTAGGTCTGTGAATAAGATCTTATTGGCTGTTACCTATAAATCATGTATCATTCTTATCTTGGAAAGCTAATGACTTCTTCAGAATTCTATTAAGCCCTACTCAAGAACATTCTGGTTAATCAGTGTCCATGGCAGATCACAGATGACCTAGTCAAAGAATTTTAGTTCATTTGGATTGAAATACAGTTATGGTTGAGGAAAAATGTTCAACTCCAAAATTTTCAATTTCCTTTTGCCCCCAAGCTCTGTACGAGGCTCACAAAATCTGACTGTTTTTCAAAAATAAATACAAAAGCTAACTGATAGTCGGGCCCAGACTTACCATTTCCTAAATGCATTAACACAAGTAGTCACTAGGACTGGAGAGACATTTCTTCAAAATCAAGATGCTTTAGATGTTATACTTATCTCCAACAAATTTTTAATACTTTGGGAGAAGACGACTGTACTTAAACACCTATAGTTCTCACAGAGAGCTTTAAATCACTCAAAATCACTGCTAATACTAAAGAAACAGTAAACAAGATAAATAATTTGGGGTATACCTAGTTGGCATCCCACTATATGGATCTACATTTATCTGACTAGCACTGCAATTTAGTTTCCCTATTTTACTCAGGGAAAACACTAAATCATGGATCTGAAGTAATTTTGTTTCTCCTAACTTTACTGGCCATTTGCTTGTGTCTCAATTATGTTTTAAATATTAATGTCACCATTGATTGCTAGACAACATAACTATGATACTGATAGAAAAGCAGAACAAAATTATAATATCACCAAAACCTCTACCTCATCTCCTCCTTAAATTCCTGCCATTCATATAGATTTGCATAATACTTAGGTAGGTACACAATATCTATGACCTGGCAAAGGAAGGCCTTAAGGGAGGACTGAGAATAAAACATTTTACTCTCTCAAAGAACATGAACTGTATGTTCAGAAAATTGTATATTTCAGTGAAGCTAATGATCTACACATTTATAGGAAGGTATCAAACTGAACTAGACCGGTCATAAACTGAAATATTCATTCATGAGCAAGCCCCTTCGAACAGACCCACATTTGAAATCCACACAATTAGTTATTAGTCCTGCTTTGTTCTAGTAAAAACTTTGTTTCATTTAAGCCTAAACTAAACACCACCACCACCAATTCTATATAATCTGAGAAGTTACATTTCCACTTGAGGTTTCTTCCTTTACAAACAAGAATTCCATATAAATTAAGGTTTTTTTCAGAATCAAGAAAATTTTATTTCCTTTAACACTAAGGAACAAGACTTTACTCATTAACAAATTATATTTATGTTTTGTCCTATAGAATTGAATAATGAAGCTTAGTATAATCAGAATTTAGGAACTAAGAAGAAAGTTTTGGTCCTTACCTCCTCCAATCAAATCTTTACACTGTTTGTTATGTATCCGACATCGTCCTCCAAAACAGTAGGCATCACCCGAATCACAACTTTGTCCATCACGTGCATAAGTGTCAGGCACACAGTGTGAGGAAACCCCATTGCAATACTCAGGGAAATCGCATTCATCCAAAGATTTCCTACACTGTATACCAACTGGTTTTAGCTAGAAGGGAAAAAGGAACATAAGAAAAGATTATGCACCAATGATACTCAAATTGTCTTTCCCTTCAGGCTTTAATTTTTCATTTTTTTTTAAGTTGCTAAAGGCAAGGAGAAAATTAAGTCTTAATAACTACTTAAGCATTGCATAGAAATTTAAATAATTAAATTTAGTTTAAATAATTAAATTTACTGTGGATAAAAGAATGGGTAGTTCTTGTAAGAGAACTGAGAAATTCAAAGTAGACTACCATAATTATTGAAAAAAAAAGAAAGATAAAAACTAAACCTAATCAATTAATATAGAAATTACTTTAAAAAACTACTTACAACCCATCATGGCTATGCTCATGTGGACAGCCTCTGGTTTCTCCTATGCTGTCCCTTCAAGCAGAAACCAGCAACCATTGCAAAATAATAAGTATATATCATAAACATTCAGAAAAAAGTTTGTAAGGTAATTTAAGGATACACAGGAAAAGGTTTATTTCACATATCACATTGAAAACAACTATTAAAAAAATAGCTTTCCCCATAATACATCTCTGATCTCTTCAGCACTTAGTCTAGCCAAGTCCTTCCAGGATTTGCTTTCTGTATACCTGTCTTTGCCAATAAACTTCCAATAGCATTACTGCAAGCCCTTTTCCTCAACCTAAGCCCCAGTTCCTCCTGGCTATCAACATTATCCTACACAAACTAAGTTAAATTTGTTCTAGCTTTCAAAGGTCCTAGAAGCCCAGCTTCTGTAACATTCACCACCCCTGAAAATGGGTTTTCTCTTTACATTTTTCCATGTTGTCAACAAGTATTTTCTATATAGCAATCCTAACACAAATTCTTCAAGTGATGGGTGGGAAGACAAAACATAATACTTGAGTCACCCAAGCTTATGTAGTTAACATTCAAATCAAAACCAATGATCAAAATTATTTCTAAAGGAAAATACATATAAGTATAATGAAAAGGTATTGATACCAGTTTCTTTAAAATATGCTTCCTTTTATAAATATGTATAAATGGCAATATTACATTCGTTATAATTTCTTCTATTGTTTTGTCTATTTTTTATAGTAGTTTAATGGTCACAGAAAATATGAGGGGTAAGTACAGAGATTTCCCATAAAACCCTTGCGCTGCACATACAAAACCTCCTCTTATCAATATCTCCACCTGGAGTGGTACATTTGTTACAACTGATGAACTTACATGACACATCATAAACAGTCAAAGTCCATCGTTTACAAGAAAGTTCTTTCTCATTGTTAGGCATTTTATGGGCTTAAACATATGTTTAATGACATGTATCTATTGTAATGGTATCAGGCTGAATATTTTCACTGCCCTAAAAATCCTTCATGCTCTGCTTATTCATCTCCCCTTTAGTTCCTGGCAACCACTGACCTTTTTACAGTCCTTTTCCAGAATGTCATATATTTGGAATCATACAGTATATAATCTTTTCAGATTGGATTCTTTCACCCAACTCTTTTTCAATATTTATAAATACCTTGTTCCTCAAATGTTCTTTGAACCAAGTTATATCATCCTACTTGCTCCTTTATTAAGAGGTGTTCATGTTTCTCTACTTGGTTCCCTAATTCCAAAATGGCCCTAAAGCTTAAAAATGGGTGACTCCCTTTTCTCATTGTTTTCTCCTAAAATCTTTTTGGGTGTTTTTTATTTTATTTGTAATTCATTTTTATTCTTCCCAAGACTGTCAGTGTCTGTATTTAAGGTGCAATTCATTGTCAGGACTCTGTCCCTTTACACAACTAAATGAGGAATGGGTAGGTTAAGTTAATGCCTCTGACCACCACACCAGCCTTGACTGCATAGTAAAGAGAGTACTATATATATCAGACAGCTTATAGTTTGGGCCAATTCCATTTTGATAACCAGGCCCAAGGACTAGTGAGAATCATTACTACTACTCCATTTGCAACAGCAGTTGTTCACATATCTCTGTTGATACATGAATCTTGTTTAAATTATTCCTTTTTGGTGCAGCAAGGATGGGCAATTCGGTAGTCTGTTATACTGCTTGTGTTTGATACAATGTTTAATTTTTTTAAAGTTACACTTCATAAGAATAACTATGACTAAATTGTGCCTAGTAATGGAAAAGAAGAAGAAAGAATCAGAGATTCCTGGCTGCATAACCACATAGAAATGCCTATTTTAACAACTACCATGAATGAGATAATCTGGCTGAAAGGTTCCAGTCCCCAGGTCAAGCAAAAAATATGAGAGTAGATGCATTGGAAGATGGTAAGAAGAACAGTTTCACTTTAGCCACATTATTCCCTCCCCAAGGTGGCACAGTTCAACGCCAAGAGAGACCGTCTTGGCTGGTGATTTCTCTGACAGAGAAAATAAAAGGGATGAGAACACAGTTTCCCCAGACTTGCAAAACACTGTGCAAGAGATTACTTTTATCTCATTCCATTCAGAACACTGAGAGAGTTGGCATACTTAAATAGTCTGGGGACACCTAGGAATAGGGAAAAGAGATGGGGGTTGACAGAAACCAGTGTGTGGATCACAATAATGAGCCACGTGTCCAATTAACTGCCTTACAGAGTTCAGCAAGAGCCTCACCCATAAAACAATAGGATGCCTCACCTGAGGATGCCCACAAATAGCCAGCCAATACCCCATTCTCCACACTCACACCCCGTAGCCAGAACCCAAAATTCCCCAGCAGATGGCACACATGAGCCTCCAACAAATGGGCACAATCCTGTAGACAACACGGATATCAACACCTGGCTTGATTCTGCTGAATTGCACAACTTTGAACACTTTAGGGCACTGCATCAGGGAAAATTTATGAGAGGCTCTCCATAGCCAGACTGGCTTTCTGGGATGAAGAGTAGGTGTTTAATCCTAATCTCTGCCACACACCGCCCCTCAGGAGGTGTGGAACAACCCCAGAAGAGGAGTGGAACAACCACACCCATTAAAAAAAAGTCTGAGAGACCCCCCCCAAACTCCAGCTGGGCTAACCAGTCTCTGGCTTCTTTCTCTCCCAAGGCTAGTTAGTAAACATTGGAAGAGACGGCTACTTCTTCAAATGTGAGGGCAGCAATGCAAGTCTTCAAAAAACATAAAGAATCAAGGAAACATGATGCCAACAAAGGAGTAAAACAGAGCTCTTATGGAATACAGATGAAAGAAATGGAAATGTACAAAATGCCTGACAAATAAATTAAAAATAATCACCTTAAGCTCAGATAAGAGAGCAGAGATAGACAAATAAACAAAATAAGGAAAATGATACATGAAGAAAATGAGTTTCACAAAGAAATTATTTTTTAAAGTAAGAGAGAACCAAACAGAAATTCTAGATCTGAAGAAAACAATAACTGAACTGAAAAATTCCATTAAAAAACTTCAAGGGCACAGTTGATCAAGCAGAAGAAATAGTGAACTCAAGGGCAATCATTTAAAATAATCCAGTTAAGAGGGGGGAAAAAAAGACTAAAGAAAGCTTATGGTACTTAGAGGACACATCAAAAGAATCACCATATGTGCTATGGGAGTCCCAGAAAAAGTGAAAGAGAAATGGGCAGAAAATTTATTTAAAGAGATAATGACAATTTGCCAAATCTAGAGAGGAAAATGTATATAAGGCCAAAAGAACTCTTCAATAGAAGAGTCATATTATTTTTAAGTGTCCAACTCTTGATTTCAGTTCAGGTTATGATCTCAAGGGTCATGAGATGGAGCCCTGTATCAGGCTCTGAGCTCAGCAAGGAATCTGCTTGAGATTCTCTCTCTCCCCCTTTCCTTCTGCCCCTTCCCCACCACATTGGCACACACATGTGCACACTCTCTCTCTAAAATAATGAAATAAATCTTTAAAAGAATACTATAACCAATAGGGGCGCCTGGGTGGCTCAGTGGGTTAAAGCCTCTGCCTTCAGCTCAGGTCATGGTCTCAGAGTCCCGGGATCGGGTCCCACATCAGGCTCTTTGCTCAGTGGGGAGCCTGCTTCCCCTTCTCTCTCTGCCTGCCTCTCTGCCTACTTGTGGTCTCTCTCTGTCAAAATAAATAAATAAAATTCCTAGAAATGACCTATCAAGATTGAATCATGGAAAAAAAAAATAGAAAAATATGAACAAACCAATAATGAGTAAAGAGTTCAAATCAGTTATCAGTTAAAAACCTCCCAACATAGAAAATCCAGGATCAGATGGCTTCACAGATGAATTCTACCAAACACTTAAGGAGTACTTAATTCTAATTCTTTTCTATCTCTTCCAGAAAACTGAATAGGAAGAAAAACTTCCAAACTCATTATCAGAATTATCCTAATACCAAAGTCAGACCAAGATACCAAAAGAAAGGAAAACTATATGCTAATGTAATTTTGACCTGAAAAACAGGCCTGATGAACATAAATATAATAATTCTCAATAAAATACTAGCAAACCAATTTCAATAGCACATTAAAAGGATCATACATCATGATCAATTAAGATTTATCACTAAGGGGGTGCCTGGGTGGCTCAGTGGGTTAAAGCCTCTGCCTTTGGCTTGGGTCATGATCCCAGGGTCCTGGGATCAAGGCCCGCATCGGGCTCTCTGCTCGGCAGGGAACCTGCTTCCTCATCTCTCTCTGCCTGCCTCTCTGCCTGTTTGTGATCTTTGTCCGTCAAATAACTAATGAAAATCTTTAAAAAAAAATTAAAAAAAAAAAAGATTTATCACTAAGAATCAAGGATGTTTGAACATATGTAATTTAATAAATGTGATGCATCACATTAACAAAGTGAAGGATTAAAAATAATATGACATCCCTGAACTTCAAAACCAATTCAATAATACTAGAGGACTTCAGTGCCCTACTAATACTAATAACATTGGATAGGTCAATCAGAAAGAAAATTAGGGAGAAAATAGCAGGCCTGAATAAAACTACAGACCAAATGGACCTTAAAGACATATATAGAATTTTATGTCCAACTGGAACAAAATACACACTCTCTTCAAGCACACATGGAACATTCTCCAGAATAAAACATATCTTGGCTCACAAAGCAAGTCGTATGAAATTTAAGGGAATTGAAATGATATCTATTATCTTTTCCATACACAATGGTATAAAACCTCAGGGGAAAAAAATGAAAAATTCACCAAATATGCAACTTAACACCATACTCCTTAAAAACCAATGGACCAATGAAGGAAAAAAAAGGAAATCAGAGAAGTATCTTAAAATAAACAATAATGAAAACAAAAAAACAATATACCAAAACATAGGGACATAGGAAAAGCAGTTCTAAGAGGTAAGTTTACAGCAATAAGTGCCTATATTTTAAAAATCTCAACCTAATTTTATCCCTAAAGGAATTAAAAAAGGAAAACAAACTAAGCCCCGAGTTAGTAGAAGGAAAGAAATAAAAAAAGTCAGAGCAGAAATAAAACAGAGACCAAAGAGACAAAAGGGAAAAAGAATCAATTAAACCAAGAGTTGGGTTTGAAAGATAAATAAAATGGCAAATCTTTAGCTAGACTAACCAAGAAAGAGAGAGCAGAAGCAATAATATAAAATTATGGAAAAAAGAGGAGACACTAAAATTGGTACCATAGAAATACAAAGTATCATAAGAGGCTACTATAACAATTATCTACCTACAAACTGCATAATACTTTAGAAGAAATGGATAAATTCTTAGAAAAAGACAACCTATCAAGACTGAATCACGAAGAAAGAGAAAACTTGAACAAATCAAACACAAGAGACTGAATGTGTTATCAAACCTCCTAACAAAGAAAGGACCCGAAATAGATGGTTCACAGGTGAATTCTATGAAATATTTAAAGGATTAATGTTAATCTTTCTCAATTCTTCCAAAAATTAAAAAGGAGGGAACACTCCCAAACTCATTTTTTAATGCCAGTTTTACCCTGATACCAAAGACAAATAAGGAAAGAAACAAGAAAAGAAAATTACAGGCCAATATCTCTGATGAATATAGATGCAAACATTCTCAATAAAATACACAACAAAGGGGCACCTGGGTGGGTCAGTGGGTTAAAGCCTCTGCCTTTGGCTCAGGTCATGATCTCAGGGTCCTGGAATCGAGCCCCACATCAGGCTCTCTGCTCAGCAGGGAGACTGCTTCCCCCCTCTCTCTCTGCCTGCCTTTCTGCCTACTTGTGATCCCTGTCAAATAAATAAATAAAATCTTTAAAAAAAAACCACACACAAAAATTCAATAGCACATTAAAAGTATCATGTACCATAATCAAGTGAGAGTTATTCCTGGGATGCAAGGATGATTCAACACACAGGAATCAATAAAAGTAATATACCCCATTAATATAAATAGGGGTAAAATTCATGTAATCCTCTAAAGTGACAAAATCCAACACACTTTCATGACAAAATCTCTCAACAGTTTGGGTATAGAACAAACATATATCAATATAATAAAAGCTACATAAGACAAGCCTAAACTAACAATTTTCAATTGGGAAAAGCTGAAATCTTTACCTATCAGATCAAAAACAAGACAAAGTTGTCCATTCTTACCACTCCTATTTAACATTAGAAGTCCTAGCCAGAGCAATTAGGCAAGAAAAAAGAATTAAAAGGCATCCAAACCAGAAAGAAAGAAATAAAACTGTGGGAGAAATGAAAAAATGTTGGTCAAGGGTATGAATTTTCAGCTATAAAATATATCAGTCTGGGGATCTAATGTATAACATGGTGACTAAAGTTAATAATGTATTGCATTCTTGAAACTTTCTTATTAAATGTTGCTATGTAAAGTGTGCTAACCTTATTGCAATCATTTCACAATTATATGAAATCGTTACATTGTACACCTTAAACTTACACAATGTTATATGTCAATTATCTCAATAAAGTTTGGGGAAAAATTTGAAAGATAAAAACATATTCTTACTCCAGTCTTATGAATATCTGCCATTTACTTTGTTCAGGAGTTTCTTTTTTCACTAGGATTCCAGTTAATTGTCTGGGTACAGGGCAATTACTCAGGAATTCTTTAAATACTTTCAATAAAGAGAGATTGGTTGATTATAATAATAACTGAATTGCAAAGGAACAGCAGACTTTACCAGAAGATAGTGAAGAGAATTTAGCTAACAACAACAGAAACTAATCTCATTTCCTGACCTCATGTGAGGTATGGTGTTAGAAAATAAGAACTGGGTGTTATATGCAATTGATGAATGACTGGACTCTACATCTGAAACTAATAATGTACTATATGTTGGCTAACTAAATTTAAATTTAAAAAAAGAAAAGAAAAGAAGACCTTAAGAGGGTTGCTTCAAATGTATGTTGATTGCAGAAATATCTCAGTGAGTATAAGTCAGGAGAGAAGAATCATCAGGCATTAAGTACATGAGAATCCTGGAAATGACAGATTACTGAATGCACTGCAGTGTAAGAAGTGTCCAATGTGCTTGTATATAATATAATGATATACTGATAAGATATTAACATATTTTGCATCTCTTTGAAACAAGTATTTCAAGAAATTTAATGCTGAGCTACTATAAAATAGATTGCCTCTTACCTTGCAATCTAGTGTACAGCATTCCCCAGAACCACATTGTTTACCCTTTTTCATTAGACATATTCTAGCGTCACAGCAGTCTTTATGTGTACAATTCTGTAAACAAAGAGACAAATTCAAATGGTATCTTTTCTCACATACGTTATGATAATTTGTCTTTTAAGAAACTTACCAATTTCATCTAAATTGCCAAATTCATTTACATAACGTTGTTTTAATATTCTTTAAACATACATAGGATGTATAGTAAATAATGTACCCTCTTTCATTCCCAATACTGGGAATTTCTTTTTTCTTTCATTTCTCCACCAGCCCAGCAAGAAGTTTATCAAGTATATGATTATTTCCAAAGCCCTGGCTTTCATTTTCATTGCTTTTCATTCTCTGATCTCTATCTCATTGATTTCTACCTATATCTTTATCATTATTTCCTTCTATTTACTTTAGATTTAATTTAGACTAATATTTTAGTTACCTTAAGTAGCATTCTAAATAATTGATTAGACCTGTCTTCTTCTCTAATATAAGCATTTATAGCTTTAAATTTTCCTTATAACACTGTTTTAACCAAATCTCATAGATTTTGATGTTATGTTTAAATTTGCATACTGTGAAAAATATATCCTAAAATTGTTTTTGTAATTTTTCTTTGAACTAATGGCCATTTAGAAGTAGTAGTTTAATTTCCAAATATTTGGGGACTTTTCAAGTTATTTTATTATTCTTGGTTTCTGATTGAATTTTCAACACAAAATAAATACATTGAGATTTATTTCATGCCTCAAATATTCTATCCTGATTAATATTCCAAGTTCTCTTGAAAGGAATTTTTATAGTTAGGCTGTTAAACATGGTAGCCTATAAATATCATTATATTAAGGTGATTGGTGGTATTGTTCAGGTCTTCCATATCCTTAATGATTTTTGGTCTAGTTGTTCTATCAGTTACTGAGAGATGTGAAATAAATCTCAAATATGATAGTAGATTTGCCAGTTTCTCCCTTTAGTTCTGCCAGTGATTGCCTCATAAATTTTGAAGACTTAATGTGTGTGTATATATGTAAATATATTTGTATAAATGTTTATATATTTATTATTATTATATCCTCACGTATTTATCCTTTTTTTCATTATGAAGTATTATATCTTTATTTTATATATTAGTATAGTCACTATAGCTCCCTTGTATTTACTGTTTGCCTGTTATATCCTTTTCCATTCCATTATTTTTGTATGATACAGAGTATTAGCGTTAAAACGTGATTTTAGAATGTGATTTAGCATGTGATTATTTCTCAGTTTTTATTTAGTCTGACAACCTTGGCCTTTTGATTAGAGTGTCTGGCCTCTTTATATTTAATGTAATTAACATGTATTTCAATTTCTTATTTTGCTGTTTGTTTCTATCTCATCTTGTTTTTGTTCCTCAATTCTTCCCTTCTTGTCTATTTTTTGTTGATGAAATACGTTTAGTATGTAGCCAATAAATCCTCTATTGCCTTTTGTAATTGTATCTCTGCATACTTTTTCAATATTTGCTCTAGGATTTATAATAAGTATCTTTAAGACTATAATCTACTTAAAGTTAATACAGATTTTCTTCAGGTAAGTTATAGAAACGTTGCAACAACTTATTTTAATGTACCCTTCCATATTTCATGCTGTTATTGTTATAGTATAGATGTAGATACACATATATACACACATGCATGTGTATGTTTATTTGTATTTATATGCATATGTATATGCATCCATAAACACATACATACCCATACATATATGTGTGTACATAATATATACACATGTAAATATACATTTATATGTTCATATATGTTTTATGTATATATGAATGCATAGTGAATAAGTATGTGTATTACATATCTATGCATGTATACAATGTTGTTTGTAAAATTAAGAGCAGAAAAGAAAAAGCATACAAATAATTATTTATATCCCTCCACATATTTACCAATTCCTGTGTTCATCCTCTTAATAGATCAGACTGATCACCTATTGCACTGGTCCTTCAGTCTAAAACATTTTAAGTTCTTAACATTTTCTGTAGTGCAAGCTTACTATGACATATTTTCTCTGCTTTTGCTTAACTGAGGATAACTTTATTTATTTCCATTTTAAAGAATAATATCTTTGAATATAGATAGCTTGGTTCTTGACTTTTTTTTTTTTTAAAGAGAGAGGGGTTTTTTTGTTTTTGTTTTTGTTTTTGTTTTTTAGGATTTTATTTATTTGACAGAGAGAGAGACAGCCAGAGAGGGAACACAAGCAGGGGGAATGGGGGAGGGAGAAGCAGGCCCCCCGCTGAGCGTGGAGCCAGATACGGGGCTCAATACCAGGACTGCTGGACCACCACCTGAGCCCCAACGGAAGGCAGATGCTCAATGACTGAGCCACCCAGGAGTCCTGGTTCTTGACTTTCTTTCCTTCAGCACTTTTAGTTTGTCATTTCAAAGTCTACTGACCTCCATTATTGGTTATAAGAAATCAGCTATATTTTGTATCATTGTATCATGTACCTAATGTGTCTTTTTTTAGGCTGAAATTAAGTTTTCTTTTTATCTTGGGACTTTGGGAGGTTTTATTGATCTGTATATAGAAGTGTGTTTTTTGTGTGTGTCTATCTGCTTATGATTATAATGCTGAATATCTTGGGTCTGTAAGTAAATGTTTTCCTTCAAATCTGGAAAATAATCAGCATTATTCCTGCAGATTTTTTTTCTTCCACCTACTCTCTCTTTTCTTTATCTTGAAATCCAATTACACCTACATTTGGCACTTAATATTTCCTCTCAGGTATCTAAAGTTTTGTTATTTTTCTTCAATTCTTTTTCTCTCTGCTCCATAGAGTATATGTTCTTATTGTTCCACTGATCAAGTTCATTGATTCTTCTGCTTCTGTTTTGTTTCATTTATTACTTTTCACTTATAGACTTTATAAATTTATATTTTTTATGCTTAACATATATCTGTTGAGATTCTCTAGCTGCTCACTCACTAGGATAATTTTTCCTTAAATTATTTGGGCATGATTTCCTTTAATGCTCCTAATATATTCAAAATAACTACTGTGAAATCTTTATCTGCTAAATACAATATCTTGGATTTTTCAGAATCAGTTTTCCTTAACTGCTTATTTTCCTAAATATGGTTCACATTTTCTTTAATAATTCTCTGTCTAGTAAATTTTTGGTTAGTAAGTTAAACATTATAGATACAATGATATAATGCCTGTATTCAGCTATCTTTCTGGATGCTTTTTTTTTCCCCCTATAGGGAATTAAGTAACCTGGATATAAACTGTAAGCTTTATCTCCCCTATAGTGTGCCATAGCTATTTCTGCTCAACTTATATGTCTTCAAACCTCTGAATTTTTAGCCTGATTCCCTTCCGTAATATGACATTCAGCCAAGGATTTAGGTAGAGATAGCACTTAGATTTCAGAGTACAAACTATGTGTAATTTCTTTGTTTCTTAAGATTCCTCTTTAATTTCCAGTTGCAGTCCCAGTCTCAAACTCACAGGGCTCACCTGGTACACCTGTGTCTTTCAAGGGTCTCACCCTACATTTTTTGCCCTATAGGATATGTCTAGGCCATGCATATTTTAGCAGTCAGCCAAATGTGTTTAAAATTTATCATCAGATTTTAGGTTTGTACCACTTTCACAATACTCTTTCAGGGTTTTCCCCTTAAATTTCCAGTGGTTCTCATCTCTGAAATCTATTCTCTTTCACATTGAATCAGTAGAGCTGCAGTTTTCCACAGCTATTTAATTCTGCCACAGCTGTGGAGTTAGAGGAGCACTCTTATGCTAGAAAGATATAAACTCACAATCCTTATTAATTGCAGCTGCAATTTTCAAGAGTAAACTCTCCTCTGGCTTCTTCTTTTAAATATTTTCCATTATATATAGATATAACATATATTTTTATATTATAAAATATATTTATAATATATAAATATATATTTATTATATTTATATATTATATATGAATAATATATAGTATGTAACATATTGTGTATATATAAATTATTATATACATATCTATATGTTTATATATATAACATTTATAATATATTGTGTATTACATATCTTTGTATATTATTTATTTTAATAATACATATTAATTTTTTAATAATGTTTCATATTTTACAATTGCTATCTCTTGAGAGTTTCCATGTGACTACTTTACTTTATTGTCAATAGCTCCTCTATCATCTTTCATCTTTCTTTTGGTTTGATCTTAGTTCTACATTTGTGTATTTTCTCCAGGTGATAGATTTGTTAAAAAACACTTTTAATTGGCATCACATCACCTGTCAACAGAAAATATTTCACTTTATATAGCAAGCAATGTATTTTGCTATTTCACTGGTAATAGTCTGTTGCCTTTAGATTTTCCTGTTTTTGTTACTGCTTGTTGTTAAAGGCATATTTCTTTAGCTCCTTAGACCACCTTTGTGGTAAATAATTATGAGTTTGGAGTTGACACTCCAAATAGTACACTAAAGAATGTCAGAAGGCAATCTCTGAAGTTAAACGTTATCTAAAAGGCTTTTGCTGTCCACTTCAAAAAATAGCAAAATTAGGAAACTTAAAGGCTTCCATTTTCCCCAAAGGTCTTTTTCAAATTTATTGTTCTGAAAGACAAAGTCTCACCTTTTTTAGCTATTATACAGATATATACACATGCTTTTTATCTATAAACACATACATTTAAACACATACATAAAAACTGAGAAAATTTCTACTAACCTCTATAATGCCACAATCACACTCTTCACCATGTTCCAATTTTCCATTGCCGCATACTTTCCTTTGTGCTTCTTTATAAACTGGCATTTCAGGAAGGATTTTCTGAAGACATTCAAAGCCAGATTGTGAAGCTAAGTATTTAAAGTCATCCAAACTACAGGTGCTAAACTCCTTTACACCCCCAGACTGCCTAAAATATTTTAAAAATGGATACGACAAAAATTATTGCTGTATATCTCTGCATTTCTGCTAATGTATGGGTTTTGAAAAGAGATTTAAAAAGAATTATGGAAAAAAATAAGCACATTTTAAAAAAATATTCATTGCATTGCAAAACATACTAATGATTAACCATACTTTTTAAATTTTACCAAGAAAATTCTTGTAACAAAAAAATCCAAAATCTTTTTATAACATTCTATCCTGTTTTAAACAAGACCTATTATTTATCTATCTTATGAACTTCATTAAATCTTTAAACATAAGAACTGTGTTTATTTACTTTCCCAATGCCAGACCATTGAATATTAAGTTTTTTAAGCCTCAATATTTAACATAATTTTGTATTTTTATATAATAAAATTATTTTATTGACAATATAAACATGCTTATATTAATTTTAATAATACATTTTAGGGCTTTTGTCCAACATAATTGAACATTTGAAATAAAAACCTGTTGTTTGACACTAAAGAAATACAAAGAATTGTAAGAGAATATTATGAGCAATTATATGCCAAGAAATTAGGCAGTATGGAAGAAATGGATTCATTCCTAGAAATATATAAACTACCAAAACTGAAACAGAAAGAAACAGACAACCTAAACAGACCCACAACCAGCAAAGAAATAGAATCAGTAATCAAAGGCTAAAATGAAATAATGAGAAAATATACTAGCTGATCTGGTCACTGTTTACAACATAATTACTGAGCATTCTCCTAGGCAAAATGTATATAGTAAAAAGTAGACCAAATGCCTGGTAAGGGCAAAAGGCACGAACATCAGGCAAAAAAAATATATGAAACACTGGAATGGTGAAATGATGGGAAAAAACTAACATAATATACAAGGGAATAAAAGATACTACTGTGGAAGAAAAAACGCTTATTAAAGAAAAAAACTATAGTTCACATCATACTTCTCATGAAAAACTGAACGTTTTCCCCTTAAGACTGGGAACAAGACAAAGATATCCACTCTCACATCAATAAAGTTATTGAAATTATTCCAAATTCAATTACATACAAATAGACGAAAAGGAAAAATAAAAGTGTTCTTCATGGATGACAAAATTTTGTTTAGAGAAATTCTTAAGGAATCAATAGAATTGGAAAATTCTAATGAGTTTAGCAAGTTTGTACCATACAAAGTCAATATACAAAAAAGAATTATACTTTCATGAACTATGAATTATGCTTTCATGTATTTGTTAACAATCCATTTTTTAATTTTTAAATCCTTTTTTTTCCTAAGAGAGAGAAAGCAGGGGAGGGGCAGAGGGAGAAGGAGAGAGAGGATTGTGTTTTTAATATGATTTTTAAAATTTAAATTCAAGTTATTTACCATGTAGTGTGTTGTTTCAGGGATAGAATTTAGTAATTCATTAGTTGCATATAACACCCAGTCCTCATTCCATCAAGTTCCCTCCTTAATGTCCATCACGCAGTTAGCCCATCCTCCCACTCACTGCCCCTCAAGCAATCCTCAGTTTTTTCTCTATAGATAAGAGTCTCTTATGGTTTGCCTCTTTTTTATCTTATTTTAATTTTTTTTCTTTCCTTCCCCTATGTTCATCTGTTTTGCTTCTTAAATTCCATATGAGTGAAATCATATATTTGTCTTTCTCTGACTGATGTATTTCGCTTAGCCTAATATCCTCTAGTTCCATTCATGTACTTGTAAATGGCAAGATTTCATTCTTTTGATGGCTGAGCAATATTCCACTATATATATATATATATACACATACACACACCATATCCTCTTTATCCATTCATCTATTGATGGACATCTGGGCTCTTTCCATATTCTGGCTATTTGGACATTGCTGCTATAAACATTGGGGTGCATGTCTCCCTTCAAATCACTATTTTTATATCCTTTTGATAAATACCTTATAGTACAGTTGCTGGGTTGTAGGGTAATTCTATTTTTAATTTTTTTGAGAAACTTCCATACTGCCTTCCAGAGTGCCTGCACCAGTTTGCATTCCCACCAACACTGTAAGAAGGTTCCTCTTTCCCTGTATCCTCACTGACATCTGTTGTTTCTGGACATGTTAATTTTATCCATTCTGACAGGTTTGAGTTGGTATCTTGTTGTTTTGATTTGTATTTCCCTGATTCTAAGTGAGGTGCAGCATTTTTTCATATCCGTTGGCCATTTGTATGTTTTCTTTGGAGAAATGCCTGTTCATATCTTCTGCCCATTTCTTGACTGGATATTTTGTTTTTGGGGTGTTGTTTGATAAATTCCTTATAGATTTTGGATACTAGCCATTTATCTTATAAGACATTTGCAAAAATCTTCTTCCATTTGGTAGGTTGTCTTAGTTTTGTCAACTGTTTCCTTTGATGTGCAAAAGCTTTTTATCTCAATGAAGTCCCCATTATTCAGTTTTGCTTTTGCTTCCCTTGCCTTTGGAGACATGTCTATCAAGAAGTTGCTGCAGCCAAGGTCAAAGAAATTGCTGCATGTGTTCTCCTCTAGGATCTTAATGGATTCTTGTCTCACATTTAGGTCTTTCATCCATTTTGAGTCAATTTTTTTTGTATAGTGTAAGAAAATGGTCCAGTTTCACTCTTCTGCATGTGGCTGTCCAATTTTGCCAACACAATTTTTTGAAGAGACTGTCTTCTTTCCATTGGATCTTTTTACTGCTTTGTTGAAGACTAGTTGACCATAGAGTTGAGGGTCTCTATCTGGGTTCTCTATTCTCTTCCATTGATCTATGTCTGTCTTGTGCCAGGGTTATACTGTCTTGATGATTACAGCTTTGTAATACAGCTTGAAGTCTGGAATTGTGATGCCTCCAGCTGTGTTTTTCTTTTTCAACATAACTGTGGCTATTCAGGGTCTTTTCTGGTTGTATACAAATTTTAGGATTGTTTGTTCTAGCTCTGTGAAAATGCTGGTTTTGTTTTGATAGAGATTGCATTGAGCACATAGATTGCTTTAGGTAGTATAGAATTTTAACAATACTTGTTTTTCCAATCCATGAGCATGGGATGTTTTTCCATTTCTTTGTGTCTTCCCCAAGTTCTTTCATAAGTGTTTTATAGTTTTCAGAGTACAGATCCTTTATCTCTTTGGTTAGGTCCATTCCTAGGTATCTTATGTTTTTTTTTTTTTTAAGATTTTTTTTTTTTAATTTATTTGACAGACAGATCACAAGTAGGCAGAGAGGCAGGCAGAGAGAGACAGGAGGAGGAGACAGGCTCCCTGCTGAGCAGAGAGCCCGATGCGGGGCTCGATCCCAGGACCCTGAGATCATGACCTGAGCCGAAGGCAGAGGCTTTAACCACTGAGCCACCCAGGCGCCCCTCTTATGGTTTTTTGATGTAATTATAAATGAGATCAATTATTTGATTTCTTGTTCTTCTTCCTCATTCTTAGTATATTGAAATGCAAGTAATTTCTGTGCATTGATTTTATATCTTGCCACTTTGCTGAATTCCTGTATGAGTTCTAGTAATTTTTGATGGAGTCTTTCAGGTTTTATAAGTTTAACTATGGTATGTCATGGTATTGACCTGTTTTTGCTAACTTTGAGAGGAGTTTTCTGTGCCTCCTAGATTTGAATGCCTGTTTTCCTCCCAAGATTAGGGAAGTTCTCAGCTATGATTTGTTCAATAAACCTTCTGTCCTTTTTTCCCCCCTGCTCTTCTTTTGGTACTCTTATGATATGATATCATCACTTTATGGAATTTTGAGTTTCCTAAGTCTAACTCCATGATCTGATAGTCTTCTCTACCCCCTTTTCAACTTCATTATTTTCTATAATTTTATCTTCTATGTCACTGACTCACTCTTCTGCTTCATCCATCCTTGTGTTTATGGCCCCACTTGGGACTACATCTTGGTTAGCATTTTTAATTTTGGTCTGTCTAGATTTTACTTCTTTTATCTCTATAGTAAGGGATTCTTTAGTGTCTTCTATGTTGTTTACAAGCACAGCTAGTATTCATATAACTGTTGTTTTAAATTATAGTTCAGATATCTATCTTATATCTGTATTGATTAAATCTCTGACCATGAGTTCTACCTCATGCTCTTTCTTTTGGGGTGAATTCCACCATCTCATCATTTTGTCCAGAAAAGAAAAAAAAAAGAGAGGAAAAAGAACAAAAAATAATAACAGCAAAGTAAAACAAAAAAAGGGGGGGGACAAGAAAAACAAAAACAAAAAAAGAAAAAAATACTGAGCGTGTGTTTTGGTCTGCTTGTTAAACTACATCCCAAAATAAAAAAATGAAATGAAATTAAATTAAACAAAAAATTGTATGCATATGTAAATATAAATAAAATAAATAATAGATAAAAATAAATAGGTAAAAATAAATAATAGAAGATTTTTAAAGGAATTGGAAAATGCAATAAATGAAAATAACAATAAAGGAATAAAAGGAAAAAGAAAGCTACATCCTATTTCCCCTAGAGCTAAAGCTTGCAGCACTCTGTGTTTAATAACGTTGGTACATGCTAATTGGTAGTGCTGGTCTTCTGGGGGAGAGGCCTGCTATGCTGATTCTCAGGGTGACTTGTTTCTGTGGGAATGTGTCCCCAGGGCACAAGGGGGCTGCAGGGCTAGGTGTATGTGGTCATAGCCTTCATTAGATGGTGCTGTGTTGTTGGTTTTTTTTTCCCTGAAGGCTCTCAGCACTGATGGTCAGGATAAAAATTGCTGTGCCCTGTTCTCTAACCTCTGAGCTGAAAGTTTGCACCCCTACTCTTCAGTGAACCCCCATAGAAGAGCAATAAGTCACCCTATTTGTGTCCTCTGTTTCCATCTGAACCTTATGCTCATGTTTCCCATGTCCAAGCCATTTTATCTCAGGCATGTGACCAAGTTTCAAAACTCCAAATTTCAGGATGTTGCAAAGATGGCAGAGGAGTAGGAAACCCTACTTCAATCAGTCCCTTGAACTGAGCTGGATATCTACCAGACTACTCTGAACACCCAAATCA